CAGGCAATAAGAGAATGGAATGAAGTATACAAAGTGATGCAAAGCAAGGGACTGAATCCAAGAATACTCTATCCAGCAAGGTTATCATTCAAAATTGAAGGGGAAATCAGGAGCTTTGCAGACAAAAAAAAAAAAAAGGCTAAGGAAGTTTATCACTAAAAAGCCAGCAATGCAAGAAATGCTAAAGGAACTATTATAAAAAGAAGAAATAGCCCTAACCAGTTTGGCTCAGTGGATAGAGCATCCACCTGTGGACTGAAAGGTCCCTGGTTCAATTCCGGTCAAGGGCATGTGCCTTGATTACGGGCACATCCCCAGTGGGCGGTGTGCAGGAGGCAGCTGATCAATGTTTCTTTCTCATCGATGTTTCTAACTCTCTATCCCTCTCCCTTCCTCTCTGTAAAAAATCAATAAAATATATTTTTAAAAAAGGGGGGGGGGAAGCTTCCTCCATGTTTAAAAAAAGAAGAAGAAGAAATAGAAAGGGAAGAAGGAACACAGGCATAAAGAATAAAAATGGCTACAAACAAGTACCTATCAATAATAACCTTAAAAATAAATGGATTAATTGCTCCAATCAAAAGACATCCGTGGCCCTAACTGGTTTGGCTCAGTAGATAAAGCACTCACCTGCAGACTGAAGATTTGTCATGTAAGGTTTTTATTGTGTCTATTCCCACTTTGCTGAGAGTTTTTATCCAGAAAGGATATGAAGTATGGTAGCAATCATCTCAGGTAGAAACTGTAGTTTAACTCTAACCCTGCTGTTTGGTTTCTGTACTTATTTGCTTGCTAAAATAATAGAAAAGTTATTTAGATTTTCTGAATTATATAAATCATCCCAATTGATTGAATACCCTATTGATTGTAATGTGAATATCCCATCGGTTATGGTCATATTGGTCTTAGAAAGCACATTTTCCTTTACCTGGGAAGGACAGCACAGTTATCCCAAGGTCAGAGGGCTCCAGATAACGTGTCCCTGTTGACTCAGTGGTCCCAAGACCACTAGATAATGTGTTTCTGTCAATTCAGTGATTCAGAGACCCAAAACTATAATTTAGATAACATGCTTAAGTAAAACTGCTTCTGCTTCTGTAAACTGCTTTTTTGCAAACCAGGTTCCTCATTCCAAACCTTGGGATGTAACCAATGCCTTTGTGATCTTTGCCTATATAAATCTGGTGCTGGGGCTGGGGCGGACATTATGAGATCTGGGAGAGCGAAATGCCCCCTCATAGTCCCGGATTCGCAATAAATGTGGCTCTTTAATTTGACTTCTTGAGGCGTCCTTGTGTGATTCGCGGGGTACATTACAACAGTATTGGGCCCTAGCTAGTTTGGCCTAGAGACCCTACCTGTGCACGAATTTCATGCACAGGGCCTCTAGTGTATAAAATAAGGTGCAAAACTGCCATTTTCCAGAGCATTATCTCAATCCTTTGAGATTTTGCTTCCTGACAATTGTCACCAGTTTGGCTCAAATAAGCTCACAAAAATTCTTCACAGGTTTGACTGTTCCTTGTGTTGACACAGCCTTCCCCCCCCGCCCTCTGCCCCCCTACAGCTTGTCAGGGTTTGTCTGTGGCCCCTTTTCGTCCACACCCTTTTGGTCTTTCCTAAAGAAGCCTATTTGTTTTTCCCAAAGAGGCCATCTCTCCCCCTTCCTTTTCCCTAAGTTTTACATAAAACTTTTAACTTTACCTGTTTAACAAGCCAGCTACTTCCTTTGTGGAAGCCCAAATACATACAAACTGGTGTGTGGGTGTTTTTTCCTGTTGATCAGGCATTTTCAGTTAAATTAGCAAGCCCCAGCCAGTGAACCAAGAGGTTAGGGGGAAAGTTTCTTCTCCTTTGCAGAAGCAGGTAGAGGTGAATCTAGTGATTTGTGGGATTTGTTGTTTGTTTTTTAATCTTCAGCCAATACTAAAGAACAGGACAAATGAGGCAAACACAGTGAAATACTGACCTGGACAATTTATACATGGGGTCCATTGTTCTCTTGTGTGTTTTCTTTAATTTTTGTTTTGAAGTTTTTCTAAATGCAATTTCCTAAATTGAAAGAAACCCTCAGCCCACGGCGTGAGTCAGGGCCTAGAAGGCACGAGTGGACGGTGCTCCCTCTTTCAGCACTGTCTGCCCTCCCCTCCCGAGCACTGCCAGGCGCCCGCAGGACTGCGCAGTCCCACTCCGACCTGCTCGTGTTCCGCTGAGGCGCCACCCAAGAAACACACCGGCTGCGCACCGGAAAGCTAGCCATCGCCTGCAGCCACGGCCTGGCCGTCCACACCGCGCCCCTGGAGACGAGGCCCGTCTGTTGCTCCGCCCTTTGGCGGTGGCCCGAACCTTAGCTTCCTCATATGTCCGCTCCCAGGGGTAGGACTCCGGTGTGCGCAGCCAATGGCCGGGGCAGGCCTAGGTCAGGGTTGGGAGTCCCCAAAATCACCTCCACCGCTGCCAGACCCTCAGGGACCCACCCTGTCCGGTGCTCCAGTGGACCCCCCCGCCCCTCCTAACCCGGTCCGGGAGCCGCCCCTCTCCTTCCTCCCCGGTGCCTCCTGGAGCCCAGACCCTCATCACTTCTCCCAGTGCCCCTATCACTTCCCCAACCCCGCGCCGGTTTCCGCAGCCTCTATCACCTTCACCTTCCTCCCAACGCCAGGCACCCCCCCCCCCCCCCCGCCCCGGCTGCCCTCTCCCCTTCTTCCCAAAGCTTTTCCTATCCCCACACCACGTGTCCTCCCTTTGCCCCCCAACTCGCCTACCCCCATCCAGGGACAAGAGTACGGTCCCTATCCTCACCCCTGGCCCATCCCCGTTGGTCTATCCAAATCCCTCCCCCCACCCAGGACACTGCCCTCCACCTTTCACCCCGCCCCTGCCCCTGGCTGCTGACACCCACCCCAATCCTCACCACTCACACACCCGCTAAGGCCTCCCAGCCTCTGCTGACGCCACAAAGCCCGTGCCCCTGAGGCCACCGCACCCTCCTCGCCCTGGTCTCTGTGGCGCAAACGCAGGTTTCCCAGCGCCTCCGTTTGCGCTCGTGGTCCGGGGCGCCTAGTCGGGCAGCGTGCACCCCTCTCCCCGGTGAGTACCACTCTATCCAGGGCCGGTCGGATGGTGGTTATCAGTTGGAACCAGAAGGGTCACCTGGTTTACAGGAGCATCCCCAGGACCGAGGGCCACGGGCCCACCTCACTGACCCAGAGTCCTTGGCCCCCTTCCCCTGAACCTGACCCAAACACATACATCCGGCTTCAGGTGGGTAGGCAGCAGGAGGGACCCATCCCAAGGGCTCTGCTTAGAGAGAGGCAGCTTCCGCAGGGTGAACCCAGTGTCTGAAATATCAGAGCCATCTCTCTGGGTGACAGCAGGGAAGGGAACCCAGATAGTGCTGTGGTTCAGAAATGACTTTCAGATCTACGCTGCCTCGCCCCAGTGACCACCCCATGAGGTGCACGGGGAGACCTTGGATCTGAACTGCATAAGGGCATGGGTGTTCGAACACCAGTGTGTGTGCATGTGCCTCTGTCTGTGTGAGCATGAACCATCGTGTCTTCTGTACTGCATCTTGGCAAAGAACACCAGAGGTGGGTGGTAGGTAGAGCAGTAAGAACATTTTATTCAGGACTGCCGTAGGGGAAGCACAGAATCCCACAGAAAGCTCAACTCTCAGTGGGGATTTATGGTCAAGGTGGGTGAGTGATAGGAAATTACTAACAGGAAGCCACTGGGTAGGGCAGCGGTTCTCAACCTGTGGGTCGTGACCCTTTTGGCGGTCGAACGACCCTTTCACAGGGGTGGCCTAAGACCATCCTGCATATCAGATATTTACATTACGATTCATAACAGTAGCAACATTACAGTTATGAAGTAGCAACGAAAATAATTTTATGGTTGGGTCACAACATGAGGAACTGTATTTAAAGGGCCAGAAGGTTGAGAACCACTGGGGTAGAGGCTTCTATCTAAACCCACATATTGGGATTCTTATTAAACTTGGACAACGGAGACACAAACACAGAAGCCCAGGGCCTATTTGGAAAGTTCTGGGAGCCTGAATAGAGTTTGGTCAAGCAGAGAACTTTTCCAACTCTGATTTTTCCTTTTAAAGTCCTCCTTTCCTTTGTTGCATGGACGTCCTGTTAAAGAAAAACTGATTCTGACACTGGTTACACCGGTAAGGAAGACTTTATTCAAGACTACTGCAATAGGGAGGAAGACGGGTCATCTCCTACTGTAGCCCACACAATGGGAGGATGGCCCAGGGCATGGAGAAGGGGTTAGTGATGGAAAAGCACAATGAAGAGAAATGGGGAGGGATCTTGTTGCTAAACTGACTAGCAGGATTCCTGCACATTCATCATAGGAGGGGTGGGATGGGCTCTAAATGGAATAAAACTGGGCGTGGCTAGGCATACAGGTGGCAGCGTAGGGGAACCTGGCTGAATTCGGTTGTGGAGAGTCTTTGTCAGCTTTCAGAGAGGCACCTATGCCTCTTACTGAAGACAAGCCAGGTGCCCTAACAGGACCATGTACAGTGCTGTCTGCAAGAGGACAACTCAAGTGCCTGGGGTTCTGGGCAGAGGGTGTGGCCGGATACTCTGTTTCTTTCCCAGGAGCCATGGATGCTGTGGAACTTTCCAGAAAGCTGCAGGAGGAGGCAACATGCTCCATCTGCCTTGACTATTTCACCGACCCTGTGATGACCTCCTGTGGCCACAACTTCTGCCGTGAGTGCATCCGGCTGACTTGGGAGAAGGCCAAAGGCAAGAAGGGCAGGAGGAAACGCAGGGGTGTCTTCCCCTGCCCCGAGTGCCGCGAGCTGTCCCCCCAGAGGACCCTGCGGCCCAATCGCCTGCTGACCAAGGTGGCTGAGATGGCACGACAGCACCCGGGCATCCAGAGCAGGGATCTGTGTCAGGTGCACCAGGAGGTGCTCAAACTCTTTTGCGAAGATGACCAGAGCCCCATCTGCGTGGTCTGCAGGGAGTCCCAGGAACACCGGCCTCACAGAGTGGTCCCGGTGGAGGAGGCTGTGAAGGAGCACAAGGTGGGCCCAGGGGTGAAGGGCAACGGGTCAAGGAGGTCTGAGTGCATGTCTGTGTGTCCAGGGGTGTATCAGTCAGATAGGAGAACAACCACTGTAACAAACAGCCCCAAATGCTGGACCCCACAGTGGAAGTGTCTGTAACTCCCACAATAAAGCAGGTAGGTGGCAGGGCCAGCTGAGCATCCCCTCCACAGTTCTTCAGGAGCCCAGGCTGACAAAAGTAGCCTCCAAGCCACTGTGTGGGCAGGCCAGGTGACCCTTTGTAGGGGAGGAAAGGGCCTTTTTCTTCCACCCTAAATCAGACTGAGAAAAGACAAATCAAGGAGAGAAAAGCGAACTGTTAACACATGTGGCCTGCACATGTCACAGGGAAGAAAGCACAGCAATGTGTGTGGCTGGCTAGGTGGTTTAGTTTAGCATCTGAACAAGGAACAGTACATTTGGAGAGAAGAGACAAAGGGAAAGGTGACAGGCTCCCAAGGGCAGCAACTGGGAAAGTATCTTGGTCCATTCCAGCTGTTGTCACAGAACACAAGACTGGGCGGCTTACAAACAGCAAGTCTTCATGCTCATGGCTCTGGAGGCTGGAAGTCCAGGATCAGGGCACCAGCACAGTCGGGGCAGGGGTCGGGGGTGCTCCTTCCCAGTTCACAGACAGCCAACTTCCCACTGTCCTCACATGGAAGAGGGGGCTGGGAGCTCTCAGTCCCTTCTTCCCCACTAGCCCCATTCCCGAGGGCTCCACCTTTCTGACCTCATCACCTCCCAAAGGCCCCATCTCCTTGGGGGTTAGGACTTAACATGTGAATTTTGGGGGACATGAACATTCAGATCATAACAGAAAGTATTTTGGGGAAACCAACAAACGATAAAGTTCATCAGTGGTATCCCACGTTCCACCTCCTTCAGAGCCATAAAACTTCCCCCGGGAGGCGGACCTGTGGCAACCCTCATTCCTCAGCAGTTTCTGCTTTTAGTCACATAACAGGAGCCTCGGAAGGTGTCTTTCTGCCTCCAGCTCAAAATAATTCTCACGCCCAAGGGGCATGCTCTGGGGTGCATTTCCATTCCCTTTGATGCAGCTTCGGAGGGCACCTCCTGAAGTGGGTGTGCAGGGGGCCTCCAACTCCTATCCCGCGGTCTGTTGTCTGCAGCTGAAGCTGGAGGGTGACATGGGGCACCTGCGGGAGGAAATGGCGAAGACCGAGAAGCTGCAGACCAGGGAGCAGCAGGCCTTGGCCGAGTGGCAGGCAGGTGCTGAGACCTTGAGGAACGGGCGGGAAGGCCTGGCCAGGCCCCAGGGTACTGCAGGGCTTCGAGAACCTGTGGACCCTCAAGGTGGATGACAGCACAAGACCCAGGAGAGGCACAGAATTCCCACCAGAGTCAGGACTGAGAATGTGCACGCAGCCCAGATTGGCCACTTTGAAGCAGGGACTGAGCGGTACACAGAGGCCTTGATGGCCATTTGGGCTCATGGGGTCACCCCACAGTGATGGGGGCTCTGCGTGGCCCCTCCCCCCACCAGCTGTGCTGGTTTTCTGTGGGTCACTGTGGCCATGTGATGTGCCGGCATCCCAGGAGTGGCCCCTCCAAGTTGGTGGGCACAGGATGGTAGTCCCCTGGCAGTGCCTCACTTCCAGGTCCCACCCTGCAGGAGAAGGTGAGGAAGCAGAGACAGCGCATTGTGACGGAGTTCAAGAAGATGGCTGCCCTCCTAGTGGAGGAGGAGCAGCGCCTCCTGGAGGCCCTGCGGCAGGAGGAGCAGGACACCGCTGCCAGGCTGCAGGAGAGTATGGTCGCACTAGAGCAGCAGAGCAGCTCCCTGGAGACCCTGTTGCTGCGGCTGGAGGACTGTAGCATCCGGGAGCCACTGCAGATGCTACAGGTGAGGCTCACCTGCTCACCTGGCTGGCCGGGGTGGACACAAGTTCTGGCCCAGGTGTGGTGGACCTGCCAGGGCAAATACAGACCAACAGGGAAGGCTCTGTCTTCATCAGCTCAGGCTGTGTAACAAATACCACAGGCTGGGGGCTTAAACATTTATTTCTCAGTCTGGAGGCTGGAAGACTGGTTCTCCTGAGGCCTCTCTCCTTGGTGTGTGGATGCCATCTCCTCCCTGTGTCTGCACATGGTTGTCCACTGTGCAGCTGTCCTGATCTGCTAAGGTCACCAAGTCACATTGGATTAGGGCCCACCCTTGTGACCTCATTTCACCTTCATTACCTTTTAAAGGCCCCATCTTCAAATATAGCCTCATCTGAGGTCCTGACGGCTGGGTTCCAACATGTTGGCTTGGGGCGGTGGTCAGCAAACTGTGACTCTTGAGCCACATGTGGCTCTTTGGCCCCTTGAGTGTGGCTCTTCCACAAAATACCACGTGCGGGTGCGCACGTACAGTGTGATAGAAACTTCGTGGCCCATGCGCAGAAGTCGGTATTTTGTGGAAGAGCCACACACAAGGGGCCAAAGAGCCGCATGTGGCTCGTGAGCGCAGTTTGCTGACCAGGGCCAAGCGACACAATCAGCCTGACAGACTCCAGTCCTAGACACCTGTGTTCTGCATTCCCTTCCTAGTCTGAGGGGTGGGGGATGGCCCAGGGGCAGCTGTCATCCACTTGGTGACTTGGGGCATGGACACACCAGCCAGGTCAGGCCCAGTGAATTCAAGGCAGGAGCAAGTCATGTGATCCTACTGAGGATGTGGAATTGGGGAGAAGGTGCAGCTGGACTGTCAGGGATGGGCTTGCACAGGAGGCCAGAGAAGTGGGAGTGATTATGTTGGCCGACAAGTGGGTAACTGTCTTGTGAATTGTGTGGAAAAATGGAATCTATAGCAAAAAACATATTTCGTGCTGTGAGTCATCACACACACAGCGTGTTTATACAACTGAAGCAAATGCCACATGCAAGGTCAGCACCGGTCTTGTGCCTGTTGTCCTGGCATCTTGGGACAACAGTGTCCTGGTTTAGTTAATGGACTATGCACTCGCCCCAACTTTGGGGAATACTTGGTCTTCTAGTAAAAAGCAGCCTATTCACCATCCACTAAACACTCCTGAGTTGCCCAAGGCCTGCAGTGTGGCAGCGCCCTTGGGTCCCCCATGCCTTCCCCCCCCAGTTGAGAGCAGGACAGCTTTTGTGGTCTTACTCACATGCAGGGGGACAGCAGGAGACCCTGGTGGCCAAGAGATAGAGATCCATTCTGAAAACTGGAAAGAGGGTCACGGGAAAGCATTATGAATTCTCCTTGCTCTGCAGGCCAGAAATGTCCACACAGGGGGCTTGGGGACGCCCCAGATCCCTAACAAGATGTAGCAGCCCTCCCTCTCTCCGTGTTTTCGCAGGACATGAAGGAGCCTCTGGACAGGTATATGACCGCCTGAGGTGCAGGCAGGGAGGGCTTCACATGGGGCCAGAGGGGTCAGTAACATCTGTTCCCTCTGGAGGAAGAACAGCTTGAGTGTGCAGTACCCAGAGGCCACCCCCATCTCACTGAGGACTGTCTGCAGAGTCCCGGGGCAGATAGAGGTGCTCAAGAGTTTCCAAGGTAAGTGGGGCCAGTCTCTCGACCAGAGCCACCCCTGGGAGCCTTGATGTTCACTGGGAATTCACACCCTACCCTTACCTGCCACTCCCAGATGCCCAAATGGCCCCCAGCTCATCTCCTTGGCACCATCAACATGGGCAGCTGGGGTACGGCCCATGCAGAGACCCAGGCTCACAGCTGGACTCAGCCAAGGGGAGGCCTGGGAGGGTGGTGATCAGGGAGAACAGGGATGACTCAGCCCCATCCCTGTTGCTGGGCCTGTCTGCAGAGAACGTGGTACCCGACCCTGCCACAGCGTACCCCTATCTCCTCCTGTACGAGAGCCACCAGAGGCACTACCTCAGCACGCCACCGGACGGCACACCCTGCAGCAAGGACAGGTTCCTGGCCTACCCCTGTGCAGTGGGCTGCCAGACCTTCTCCTCAGGGCGGCACTACTGGGAGGTGGGCATGAACCTCACAGGGGATGCGCTGTGGGCCCTGGGCGTGTGCAGGGACAATGTGAGCCGGACGGATAGAGTCCCGAAGTCCCCGGAAAATGGATTCTGGGTTGTACAGCTGTGCAAGGGAAAGAAGTATGTGCCCCCCGTGTCAACCGTGATCCCCATCACACTGACGGAGCCCCCCAGCCATGTGGGCGTCTTCCTGGACTTTGAGGCTGGGGAGGTGTCTTTCTACAATGCCAGCAGCGGGTCCCACCTGCACACCTACGCCGAGCCAGTCTTCCCAGGCCCCCTGAAGCCCTTCTTTTGCCTTGGGGTCCCCAAATCTGGCCAGATGGTCATCTCAACAGTGACACTGTGGGTGAAGGGATAGGCGTGTAGGCAGGGAGTGCGGGCACTCCACTTTCTCTAGAAAGTGAGGTGGTCCTGCTCAGCGGGCTGCCTGCCCAGCTTATCTCTGAGGAGCTGTGGAGAGCCCTGCTGGCCCAGGGGGCTCGCCAAGCCGAAATAGAATCGTGATTAAAGCAGTTACACCACGGACTGTATTCACAGGTGCTTCATAGAGGGAACCTGTACCAATCCCTCAGTAACACTTAGGGACAGGCCACGGTGCTGTAGCTTTTTAGACATGTTGCCCTCCCCCTGCCACTCACTGGGTCCTCCTGGTTTGGGTCGCTGTAAGTAAACCTGTGGCCTGAGGGGTCCACCTTTCTTGTTATCAGCAATTCCACGTCTGGGTCTTTCATAGGGAAAACAAGGAAGTACAAGTTTTCAAGCTGAACCCCTAAAAACCTCAGAGCTGCCCACCCCCATCCCTTTCCATCCCCTTTTTTTTTGGGGGGGGGGGGGGGGGCGGTGTTACGTTCAAAGAGGATCATGGGTGTGGGCGGGTCCTTTCCTCTCACTCCCCACCCACCCTCGCAGTTTCCGGCGCATTAGCCCCCCTTAACAGTCATCAGCACCCCAGAATACAGTCAACGCACTCCTACCTCAATACGACCAGAGTCCCTATGGGCAGAGCGCTGCCACCCATTCCTTCCGACCGTCCTGGGCGCACGGGGGCGGCTGGGGCTACCCTAGTCCTAGTGGTCGCTGCGCCGCGAGGACCCCAGTGACC